CCTGACTGCAAATATACCTCTGGATGTAGTATGAAATATCATTAAATTGGCCCTCACCACCATCCGTGGAAATCAGAAATTACAAGTTCCTTCATAGTCTTTAATATGGGTCTTTCAGCACTGATGCCAAGAAATCGAGCCGCTTTGTCTTTGATTATTTCCGTTGTCTTTGATAATTTGTGAACGAATTTGTGATGCCGTTACAAAAAGCTAGTTTTTATTAGCGAGTACCAATTTAGACTCTTTTTAATCTTTTTTTTTCTCTTCAAAAATTGCTTGAAGCTACTGAAAACAGTGGATCAGATTGTTGTTTTAATTATTTTCGACTGTTCGGGCCAGTAGCTGTGTTCATTTTGATTCCGCCACACACTTCCGGTTACTCGTCGATATGTTTTGAATGGACGAATGAGCATGGAATGAGATGATTGCTTTTCTCCCCGTGAGATACGCCTGTATGTTAGTAGTTCGGTACAATCGGTGCGGTATTCTGATTCACTTAGTAAGTGTTCTTTCATGCTGATGTGATCTCGTGAACAGGTACAAAAGTGTTGCCTTGTTAAATTCTTCTGTTGTCTTTGAAAATGCAGCGCTTGAGGTGACGAATTTTCCGTGAAATTTGGATTCAGCTTGGGAAACGATCTGACTTGGTGAAAACAACACTTCAGAGCACCAGCTCTCCAAATGTACTCTTTCCGCCTGCTTTCCCCAAAAGACGAATACCAGTGATGGTCATTTCATGTGTTATTGACTTGCACATATCGTAGAGCGCAAGAGCTGCCACCGATACTGCCGTTAAAGCTTCCATTTCAACGCCAGTTTTCGATTCGGTGCGTACAAGCGAACGGATCCGCACCTCGTTCCTATCCTGAAATTCACAAATTTCGTGACCAGGTTCCCGCCGGATCAGGCAGCCAAAGTTCTTTTTTTTCCTGGTCCATCCATAATTGAGTTTCAAAAAATGACGTTGCATGTGCATTACTTACTTCAAATAACCTTATTTCGATGTGCACCGCGCTCAGTGGGATGTTATGGCATAAAGGGATTAGTACTGATGTTAGTTTGGCGGCCTGAATTCCAGCGATGCGTGAGACTCCCAGCGCATCGCCCTTTACAACTTCATTTTTAAGCAGTGTAGACATCACTTCACTGTTCACCTGAAATTCACCTACGATTCACATCCACGTATTTTTTTGAAGTCTCCGAGGCAGGCCACAAAAAGTTCACCTGAACTGTACATTCGGCAAC